GAAGAAATGGGCGAATCCAGAAGTTCATCAGAAGTACTGCTAGTAGAATCTTCAAGAATATCCAATGGAATGAAATCAGTGACATGCTGGGTTAAGCCAGATGACTTTTCGCAGTTCTTAAAACAACCTGGAAAATCATAATCATGACTTTCCAACTTAGCGGCCCACATGCCACACTTAACCACAAATCCATTTTTGTAGGGGTGCTTTTCAATGTCGCAAAGGTTACAATTTTCACTATTAGGATACATACTTTTGAAGTTAGTCTTCGTTCCTAATCTATCATTATGTTGTCTTCTTTCATTGTCTTCCAAAACTGTACAAGGGTTTCTTTTTCCTTCTTCTATCAATTGTATCATATTTCTGAGGATATCTGGAGGAAACAGATGCTTCAAACTTAAGGTCAAAGTTAGAGACAGTAGAGAATTCTGTTTCTTGGCTCTGAAAGGGTATCTTTTTCCAATTCTTGTAATTTGGTTGTACTTGTTGGCTGTAACATTTACCAGTTTTTGAAAGAGTTTTAATTTCCTTTATCTGTGCTTCTTTTATGTTTATGTTACTGTTTTCTAGCAACTCTTGTGATGTTTTCCCCTCTATCTGCTCAGATATACCTTCTTGCTCTTTATAGTCAGTATCAGAGAAAGCTGAAATAATCCTAATTCTGTCAGTTTTAGTCTGTAAGCCTTGTCTAGTGTAAAGAGATAAGTTTGAAGAAATATGAAGCAAAGGAAAAACAGGGTAAAGAAACAAAGAAGATTTAGTGCACATCCAATAAGAAAACTAGAATTAGTAAAATTATCAATTTAATAAAAACCATTCAGACTGAAAAATATAAGGAAATCCACATGATCTTAAATTAATATTATAGCAATGTAGTAAAAGAGTATTTTCCACATCAAAAAAGAACGGCTATAATAGTAACTTTTATTTTTTTTTTAATATATTTTATTGATTTTTTACAGAGAGGAAGGAAGAGGGATAGAGAGTTAGAAACATCGATGAGAGAGAAACATCGATCAGCTGCCTCCTGCACATCTCCTACTGGGGATGTGCCCGCAACCCAGGTACATGCCCTTGACCGGAATCGAACCTGGGACCCTTCAGTCCGCAGACCGACGCTCTATCCACTGAGCCAAACCGGTTTCGGCTATAATAGTAACTTTTAAATACTTCACTAGCTATCCTAAGCTTTTTAAAATCCTTTATTTTCTAAGGAAGAAACTAAATGAACATGTCTCAGCAATATACTAGTATAGCAGCGATTTTCAATCTTTTTCATCTCATGGCACATATAAACTAATTACTAAAATTCTGCAACACCCCCTGACTGGTTTGGCTCAGTGGATAGAGCATCGGCCTGCGGACTGAAGGGTCCCGGGTTCGATTCTGGTCAAGGACATGTACCGTGGTTGCAGGCACATCCCCAGTAGGGGGTGTGCAGAAGGCAGCTGATTGATGCTTCTCTCTCATCGATGTTTCTAACTCTATATCCCTCTCCCTTCCTCTCTGTAAAAAATCAATAAAATATATATTTTTTAAAAATTCTGCAACACACCAAAAAAATACATTATATTTTTGCCAATCTGTCAAAAAAAATAGGTATGATTTTGATTCATTCACACCGCATAGCTGTTGTTGTTGGCTGTTGTCATGTTTTACTTGACAATCTAAGGAAAAAGAGGTCAATGCCCCTGACTAAATAGTCAGGTATTGCATGTTTTCAAAATTCTTGCAGCACACCAGTTGAAAATCGCTGATATATAGAATGTATCTACAATGCCAACTTTAAAACTGTTAAGTATTCCATGAAAATATATCAAGGGATTTCAAGAAACCTAAATTTGTTGATGAATTTGGGTCTGAAGAGAAGCCAAGCTGTTAACCTGCTGAAAGTTATATTTGAGGCAGTATAGCCAACAATATGGTCAAACACATTTCTTTTAGAAAGAAAAAATATACGCATAATAAAAATAGTCTTTGACTATCAGAAGTCAAACCTTGTTACAGTGCCAAAAAAAGCAAATTATTTAAAGCGTTATAATTGTTATTTGTGAAATCTAAGACTATATGCATTGAGGATTACAGTGAAATGAAAATCTTTCTCTATATTGAGTACAACAGCAGAAGCCACATGTTCAACTTAAGTCAATGAATATAGAAGAGAGCTGACCTTTCTTTCAGTTAGGTTAGAGACTGCCTACTTCCCATGTAGTGAGGTAGGGGTGTAGAGAGAGCCTGCAGACTAGGAGCTTGTCAGCTCAGTGTGTTCTTTTATAGATCTAGCATCGAATAGCATTTATTTAGGAAACAGAAAAAAAGATCAAAGTTGTAACTTAGTGGCTAAAAATCTTTAAGATTTTTAGTCTTTGAGACTGATAGTCTTTTGAAACCCCTTAACACTAGAGATACTTTGGCGATATAACAAAGTCCAATTCTACTATCAAACCTCAAATTAGGTATTTTTACATAATTTACATACATTCCCCATTATTCTGGACTCATTAGGCAGAAGTCCATTTGATAGAGTGAGGAAATCAACTTTACATATTTTTTTTACATGCAGTTTCATTACTCTCCATTATTCTCAAAAACTCAAACTAAACTAAGTCCAGTCTGGAAAAAGTCTTTATAGTTACAACTTAAAATCAATAGATAGCCAGGGATAGAGTGAATGAAGCTATTTATTCTTATACTTCTGATTTATTGGAAGATACTGCAAACATGCTTATTCCCTCAAGATTTTTAAATGTTCTTCTTATAAAACTGTACAACTTAAGAATTTAGACTATTTCCAAGAATTTAGTATTTATAGTAATAGAGAAGTTTAAAAAAATCAATGCTAGTGATAGAATTTCTTCAAAAAGTTTTAAAAAAGAAATCACTTCAAACCTTTATGTTAAAAATGTCTATAATAAAAGTTTACTTACAGGGGTAGACTGGAGGGGTTGATGGGGGGAAAAGGGGGATACATGTAATACTTTCAACAATAAAGATTAAAAAAAATCATGTTGCCCAGCTGGCATGGCTCAGTGGTTGAGCACTGACCTATGAACCAGGAGTTCATGGTTCAATTTCCAGTCAGGGCACATGCCCAGGTTGCTGGCTCAAATCCCCAGTGTGGGGCACGCAGGAGGCAGCCAAGCAATGATTCTCTCTCATCACTGATGTTTCTCTCTCACTCTCCCTCTCCCTTCCTCTCTGAAATTAATAAAAATATATTTTTTAAAACTCATGTTAATTTTTTCCTCTGCTGGAATTGATAAAGTATTTACTTTTAACCTCATTTCATATAATACAGTAAAATCAGGTTTATATGGGATCAATTAAAGAAAAATTTTAGGGGAAAAATTTGCAACTTAAAGTATATCACTAATGCTCCTCTAAGTGTTACTTATTACAGCAGTAACCCAGGAAGTAAATAAAATTATAATAGGGTATTTATTAGGCAACTGCAGTTGTCCAGCAGAGTATGTAGTCATTTAGGTTGATGTGCCATTATTACTACTGGCCTGTACATCTAATGCTTGCAAATACAGAAGGGAAAGAGGGCCAAAATGTGGGTTTTATTTTGTTGTTGTTGTTGTGTATGTGTGTGTGTGTTTTTCTTAAAGTTGGGACAATATAAACAACTGAAATCAAATGAATAAAATATACAAATATTTAAATACTAAACCAGCAAGGAGTAGGGACCAACTATAGTAGGATTCCTGGCATGTTTCTTTTTAGAATTAGAATCAGATTATAAAGAGTGAGAATTCTATTTGATGGTTGATAAATGAAAAAATTTTCATTGAAAATATACTCAGTAATTGAGACAGGATGATGTCTAGCAGGTGGACCATCATCTGAGGCTCAAGATATAAATAGTATTTACCAGTTTGGTAAGGTGGGGCAAAAAATGAGATCATCACCCGGCCGGTATAGCTCAGTGGTTGAGCGTCGATCCAGGAACCAGGAGGTCACGGTTTGATTCAGAGTCAAGCAAATGCCGGGGTTTCAGGCTCAATCCCCAGTAGGGGATGTGCATGAAACAGCCAAAAAATGATTCTCTCTCATTGTTTCTGTCTCTCTCTCCCTCTACCTTCCTCTCTCTGAAAACAATAAAAATATTTTTTTAAAGGGATCATCCTAAGGTAGGTGAATTTCAGCAACCAAAATATGTGCTAAATTGGAATGGTTTTTAAAAAACTAACCTCCAGCCAATGAAACAATTAATTCAGGTAAGGATCATCAATGGATGCTAAAGTGAATGGGTTAAAGGTTGTTGGGGAAACAGAATATTGACACAACCTCAGATATAACCCAGAAATCCCTAATTACAAAGGGGAAAGATAACTTTACATTGTAAAAATATGGTATATACAGATTTATTAACCAAGAGATAAAACTAAACACCAATAATGAAACAAAGTAACCTTATGTGAAGGAAACATCATCTGTACTATTTTTGCCAAAAAGTGTGAGTGGGAGATTCTTTGCTGTATGCTGTATTGCACCTTAACATTTTTTTAACCATGCAAATGTTTTATATATTTAAGAAATTAATAAAAAATTTAAAGGTCCAGCAAAAGCACTGAATCTGCTACAGAGAGATCCATAGTAGTTTTCTTCTGAAATTCCCAGGGAAATATTTAGGTAGGAAGGTTATCCAAACATTTAACATCTGCGATTTTCTTTTTTTAATTTTGGTAAAGGGTGAATCAAAATCTCCGGGCTGGGCAGAAAAGTGAGCAGGCTTTTTCCAGACATCCACCCCCAGTGGGCATTCTCTCACCATTTGAGAATCGCTAATCATAAAGAGAAATATTTCTGATGGAAACGTATAAATGTGAATGTGTGGAAGAGGAAAAAATAACAGTACACAAAATCACTGTATCTTGGCCTATCTTACTGCTATACTTCCATTACCACCTCAGGTCAAAGTGCCCAAATCCTTGATGTCAGTTGTATCCTGAGCTCAGCATACTAGGAAAACAAAGTGCTTTGTTTCCAACACCCACCTGAGAGCCCGCCGCTCTGGGTAATCGAGGTCATAATCATAACTTTGCATAGAATCGTTGCAAGAGTCCCGGGAACTGCCCTGAAGTAGCAGCTGCTGTGGCAATCGCACAGGCACAGGGAACTGGTGCACAGAAGCGTTGGGCTGGGAAGTCGAATGGTAAGGAGGCGGGATGCTGTTGCTGGTCTCACTGCGATAGTCACTATCTCGGTCATCGACAGCACTATCAGGATCTTCAAAAGCTGTGGAACAAGCACAGTCAAAGCACCCAGGCTTTACTTAATTCTTCAGAATTCTTTCTGCTTCTAACTTAGGTAGCCACCAGCTGTGAGAACAAGAGCAAGCTGAGTTGCACCGAGTCTAGTGACCTCAAAGCCATGTGCAGAACTGTCTCAATACCCACTAGTTTCTCCCCTTATCAAATGAGATGGAAGACTTGGTTTAATTTTAGTGTTGATTCTTAGAGGAGTTACATTTTTCCAAAGCAGAATTCTTTGAGATTCTACTTCTCTAGCTATCATAACCCGAAGGAAAACCTGCTTTTAAATGTCATAAACAGATTCTGGTCCTCTACTATTATCAAAAGGAGGAAAAAGAAAAAAAATAGTTTTCCCATATCTTAATAAAGAGATTTTTTTGTTTAAAATTGTCTTGATGTTTCAGACTTTAAAATACATGAATGGACCAAACAAACAGGTCCAACATCAGAAACTGGCCAAGGAAATCGGGAAGGTCAAGCCAAGGCTTAAGAGTCACCCTAAAGGTCCAGATGCACTGAGAAAAGCAGCAGTTTTACTATCTTGCTGAAACATTGGGTTTTTGTAATAATTCCTGTCAAGCACCAACACCCTAGGTTCAGAATTCCTCTCCAAAGTATGGGCTGAAGAAGAAAACACATGCACTGCCCATGGGATCTTGCTGATAATGCAGCCAAGTTTATCTAACAGTGACTATAATTTCATAGAATTATTTCTGTTTTTCCGGCCAGCACAAACGATGAACACAATTACAAATTCTGCTCCAAGGAAAAATAAAAATGTGCAACACTGTGCTTGGAAAGGGAGCTCAACCTAACTGTGCTTTATAGGTTACTATACAGGGAAGCCATTTCTGACACCATCCTCTATGTACCTAACTAATAAATCCCATATTTCCTTTCTTGCCAAGTTCCCACTTGGCTCGCAATGAGGAAAACCAATATTCACCATCCCAAAAAGGAGATACTTTTAGCAAATGATGGATTCCTCATATTAGTAATTAAAAAAAAACAACACCTTAGTAGTAGTATGGGAAACAGAAGCCTCTTGAAGACCATAAGGTTAGGCTTTCACATTTTCTCATGAAGGAGATAAGGACCTGCATCCATACAGTGGAAATTAAAAAGAGTTAATGAACTAGGGTGGGGGGAATCCACACAGAAATGATAAAACTTGGAAACAAGCCCTGGTTGGTGTAGCCCAGTTGGTTGGGCATCATCCTCTATGCACTGAAAGGTTGTCGATTCAATTCCCAGCTGGATCCCAGGTAGGGGGCATGCAGGAGGCAGCCAATCAGTGTTTTGCTCTCACTTAAATGTTTCTTTCTCTCCTCCTGTCCCTTCCTCTCTCTCTCTAAAAATAAAAAATAAAAATAAAAACTGGGAGACAAATGGAAGGTAACAGGAAAATGACCCTTGGGCTTCTACATTCTACAGCCAAGTAGGTAATTCCACTAAAACAGACAGGGAGCAGCACAAATGTGGGCTTTACACGCAAGGAAGAAAATTTGAACATTGGATTCCAGACAACACTTGTGGGTACAGCAGGATGTAGGGGTAAGCTTTTCCCATCTGAGTTTAATGCAACATGTGAGCACAAGAAGAAAAAAAAGAGGTAGTGATTAGAACCCCAAGGGGAAAAATCAGTACGAGAAAAAGGCTAACCTTCAAAATGGGCAGGAACAAGATCAGTCAAAAAAAATACAAAGCATTCTGATCACATATTAGGAAAAAGACTTTGGAGGCACTGGTTTTAATCCTTGATGTATTTGTTGTTCTGAAGACTAGAAAGGATCAAGGGATGAAAACCAGAATGCCTTTCAGGTATAATTCTCCCTGAACCAACAGAACGAGTTAAGTGTGGGAAAAGTCAGTACTGAATTATTCATGCATACAGGGGGAGGGGGCAGATACAAAAAAAGAAGACAAAGCAAAGAGTCTGCTGAAATTCTGGCAGGAGAAGAATTAGCACATAATCCAGAAAACCAAAACTGAGTCTCCAAAAAGGAAGCCGTGATAGACAATCCTACTGATTGTGAGGCCAAGAGAGAGCAGCTCAGCCAGAAGTAGGAGCCCATGATCCAGAGCCAGGAACTTAGTATAGGGACCCTAAGTTTCTCACTGCATCTGACCTATTACTTCTAAATAATGCTTTGCGTGCGTGTGTGTGTGTGTGTGTGTGTGTGTGTGTGTGTGTGTTTTTTTATTTTAATATCTTTTTATTGATTTCAGAGAGGAAGGGAGAGGGAAAGAGAGAAACATCAATGATGAGAGAGAATCATTGATTGGCTGCCTCCTACACTCCCCCTACTGGAGATCGAGCTCACAACCCTGGCATGTGCCCTTGACCAGAATTGAACCCTGACCCTTCAGTCCACAGGCTGATGCTCTATCCACTAAGCCAACCCGGCTAGGGCATGCTTTGCTTTTTTATTTTTCTAGGCTAAGGGGAGGAATATTCCAAAACTTTCCTAAAGGCTGACAGCATTTCTATACTAAAGAAATAAAGTACAAATATTAAGGAAAAAAAAAACTATGGAAAGAAAAAATTGGGAATAGAATATGAAAAGTAGGAGGGAATGGGAGAAAGGAAACATAGGGAAGTGAAATGAGACAAAAGAGAGGAACAGAAAAAGAGAATATGGAAGGGAATGACCGAAAATAAATCTTTAAAAGTAAACTGGAGAAGAAATCTAATCTGGGACAAATCTGGGCCACAGGCATAGAGTGGCACCCAAACAAAATTGAATGAGATACTGAACAGTGAGGCTCTCCGGTGTGTGGTGCTCCTGGATTAAGTCCCTGTCTTTAAATCCAGAGTACAGACAGAAATTTACCAGCTAGAGAAGAAAGGAAAAAGAATTCAAACCTTTTTATTTTTCATTAGTTACTTATTTTCTATTTAAGTTAAAACCTTAAGTTATCCAAGCTCTCTTAGGCTGCCTTTGAGCAGTTCCCTAGTGAAAATACTCAGGATTCAAATCACAGAAAATACATACTCCATGAGAAATTCCATTAACAGGACAAAATTTAGTGCCTCTTAGCACCTATTGGACACCTAATCACTGGGACTCAGCCAAAACCCCTTGCCAGGTGGGTAACAACCAGTAATGTTAGCCTAGGGCTGTGTATCTTGCTGGAAAGGACTGACTACCCACTCTCCAAGCTCTAGAAGAAAGTCAGCCTGCCTGGGCTGCTTCAAGCAAAGTGAAACCATGTCATCGGCCTCTTGCTCACTTCACCAAACCAATGACCTCTCCCAGAATAATGCTTCTCCTTCTAGTCACTGCACTCCTTAGTCAAGAAAACAAAGGAGAGGGCTTCCTACACTGGCGGCTGATGGTACTACTTGTCTTTGGCAAAGAAAACTCAGGAGATCCTGTCAGAATTGTAACTGGGACTTTGGTTTGAAATTTATCATATACACACCGTCTCCAAGAAACCAGCCTGAAAGGATATAACATTTCACTCAAGATAACTATCTCCTGAGATTTAAGGAGGAGAGGGGAAGGTGGGGGGGGGGGGGGGGGGCACGTGAAGTTATATATGCTTGTATGCATGAATATCCAGCTTTATAGTTCAGAGAGAGTATGTTAAAGGATAAGATCAAGAAAATTATAAGGAATTCAAATTCTTACGTACTCTGCTGCTCTCCCCAGCCCAGATAGGTCCAGTGACCTAACAACACCGCAAGTGGTAGCAAGAAAAGAGTGACAGAGACAATTTTAGGAAGAATTCGAAGATCATTTCCCCAGCCCACCAATTATTATATACCTTACCTTATTTGAGCCTTCCCTACTTGCATTCCATTAATTTTACATAACATGTAAAGAGCATCTGCCTTCTACCAAGCATAAGACAAATCTACACACAAAGTACTCTTGCTCTCTACTAGTCACTATATAGGGAATAACAAAAAACTACTGCTTCCGCCCTAACCGGTTTGGCTCAGTGGATGGAGCGCCGGCCTGAAGACTGAAGGGTCCCAGGTTCAATTCCGGTCAAGGGCATGGACCTTGGTTGTGGGCACATCCCCAGTATGGGGTGTACAGGAGACAGCTGATCGATGTTTCTAACTCTCTATCCCTCTCCCTTCCTCTCTGTAGAAAATCAATAAAATATATTTTTTTAAAAAACTGCTTCCATACTCTTTTTAAACCTCCTCTGGCCTACAACGTCATTTAGAAGCTGATATACCCTTCCTTACTCCAAATGAGAAAAACGCAACCTGCCTCTACGAAACCCTTCCTTGTCTCTGTGTTCATTAAACCTGAGCCTACCACAGTATACCCAGGAGAGGCTCAGTCCTGATACAGTGGGAGAGTGAGTCCCTTTTCTGGAAGCGATGGTGTCCAATTTTGCTTCTCTCTATTGAAAGTTAAAAGGCCAAAGAACAATCATACTCTCTCATTTTTCAATATGTAATAAAACACTGTAGCCTGTTGGGTCCTCAGAGATAGCATTTTTTTCTCAATTACCTACACATTTTAAATAAAATCTATTAAAACACAAAAGCTTTGAATGACAGGAGAAATTACATTTTCTATTCATTTTTCAAAATAAAAAATTCAATATTAATTAAACTCCTATTCCACACTCAAACTAAATTTGAGGCAACAAATGTGACAAAGAAATCACTAAATATAGGCCTTTATCCTAAGAAACAATGAATAATTTGGCTTCATATTGGTCTTGAAGTCAAAGCTAAGTTATTCTGGCCCTGCCACATACTAGCTATATAATCTTGAAAAAGTTGTAAGGATTACAAGAGAAAATTAGTTTTGTCATATTGCCAGATTTTTGCTTGCCTAATAGGTTTCTGATAAATAGGTAGTGGGAGGGTTGGCACACTGACGGCCCTAATGTTTGCTGAGAAATCGCCAATGTCAGAGTTCTAGGATGCAGTTCCTTTGAAAGCTTGCTGTAAGAATCAAAATTCTAGAAGCATCGAATGATGCCAACACAGGCTGGCTTCATTACCTGAGCTAACTTCCAATCCTGGGGATATGGGACTACTAGTCACAGACTGTTTAATTTAACTGTACACTGAGTGTCAGTTTTCTTCCTATGTACTTAACTTCTTCCTACCACCTATGTCCTCTTCTCTGAAAGGATACTGTGCAATTTTTCAATTTTAATAATTTATTAAACTTTCTAACCTTGGGGAGAGAGGGACTTCAACTGAAAATTCTCCCAGGCCATAGCACAGTTGTCATAGCAACTGCTAAGGGGTAATTATCTTGTTTCTTTTAAAAAGAAAACTGAAAAATAATCATGTAGGACTTCAGATTAGCTTGCAACCTAGATTGCTCCAGGCAAGTAACAATACTGTTTCTCAGTGAAACTCTGGGACCAAAGAAGCCTCTGCTTACAAGACATTGCCTCTTTCCTCAATTTCCACAGCACTGCATAGCAGTTTCTTATACATAGTAAGTGGTCAATAAATGCTTATAGCATGAGTAAACCAAACAAATGACCCAATCCCATCTACAAGTTCCATTACTAACCCATGAAAATAACAGTAGTTATGCTGTCTGGACAACCAGTTCCCTATTCTCACTTAAGCCCATTACCATTATTATAAGAGAAATAATACCAGGTTAATTAAGCCAGTTACCTTCTCCACTCCCCAAATGCACTAAAACATTTCACTAACCAGTAGAACAATTAATGAGGACAGTTAGATTTTACTAGGGACAAATACCAAGAAAGGGAAGGGGGAAATGTTTCAGGTAAATGAAATTACACATACAAAAGCACATTTAGTGAACTGATAATAATGCTAGCATATGTGAAAAAGAGGCTTCAGGGTAGGGGCATGCAGGAGGCAGCCGATTAATGTATTGCTCTCAGATGGCTGTTTCTCTTTCTCCCACTCTCTTCCCCTCTAAAAATAAATTTAAAAAGCTTTTTTAAAAAAGAATTCATGAGTTCATAGTGACAGTCATAAAAAAAGTAGGAGAGGAGAAGAGAAAAAGACAGCTACTCAATGTAAAAGTAATGAGAAAATTAGAAAATCATCATTTTGCAACCATCATAACAGATTCTAATATTAATGAATGAAAAGTTATGAGAAAATAGGATATGTACACACAGTCTCAAAGTAGTATGCCCCCCTCTAGATTACTTATTAATTACAAAGGGGGGGGGGCAGAATACCCTAACAGTGGAAAGATCCAGAAAACACCATCTGAACTAATAATTAACATCAGCATCACAAATAATCACAAATAATTTTTAAAATTAGTATCAGCTAGGTAGTAACCAGAATCTAATTATGAAGAAACAATAGGACAAATCCAGATTTTAGGAAATTTTATAAGACAATTAACTGAATCCTTGCCAGCTGTCTTGTAGAATGTGGGTGGAACTCTTTAATCTTTTGCAAGAGCAGCTATTGGTGAAGAGAGGTTAGCCCGTCCATTCCCTATCTCCTGGGGAGGAGAATGATGAATACAGTTTGGGGATGCTGGCAAAAAATGGGAGCCAGACAGGTTAGATATCTACCTAAGCAGGAGAATTGCTAATCTGAACTCTATACCTATCTGTAGGTACAATCTAGAGCTCATTTAGACCAATTCTTTTTTATGCATCAAGAAACTTAAGTAGACTTCCAAAGACACTCAGAGAGACAGCAAACACAGATCTAGAACAAGGACTCAATGACTCCATTACTCCTCTTAATAACTTTTAACTAGTAAAAGTAGTACTTAATTATTTAGAAAATGTAAGAACTGGAAGAGTTCACTGGACAACACTCAACCAACTAAGCCACACTGGCCAGGGCCCTTCCTCTTAAATTGTAACTGGGAGCCCTAGCCAGTTTGCTTCAATGGATAGAGCATCGGCCTGGGGACTGAAGAGTCCCAGGTTCGATTCCAGCCAAGGGCACATGCCCACATTGTGGGTTCGATCCCCAGTAGGGGGTGTGCAGGAGGCAGCCGATCAATGATTCTCTCTCATTATTGATGTTTCTATCTCTCTCTCCCTCTCCTTTCCTCTCTGAAATCAATAAAAATATGTTTTTAAAAAAGTCATAATCCCACTATCAGAGACAAATTTGGTTAATATTTTGGTGCCTCTTTTTCCAGATATTTTCCCTCCAATTATATAGATTTGTTTCCCTAAGTGTATTAGTCTGCTCCGGCTGCCATAACAAAATGCCATAGACTGGGTGGCTTAAACAACAGAAAACTATTTTCTCAGTTTCTAGAGGCTGAAAAATCAAAGATCAAAGTTCTGGCAGGGTTCAGTTTCTGGTGAGAGCCCTCTTCCTCACTTGCAAATGGCCATCTTCTTGCTGTGTCCTCACATGGCAGAGAGAGCTCTGGTGTCTCTTTGTATTTTATTTTATTTTTTTGTTAATCCTCACCCGAGGGTATTTTTTTCCATTGATTTTTAGAGAAAGTGAGAGGGAGGGAGGGAGGAAGGAGGACGAGGAGAGAGGGAGAGAGAGAAGAAAACATGTGAGAGACACATCAATTGGTTGCCTCCCACACGCACCCCAACTGTGGCCAGAGATCGAACCTGCAACCCAGTTATGTGTCCTTGACCCGGAGAACCTGAGACCCTTTGGTGGACAGCTGACACTCTAGCCACACTAGCCAGGGCTCTTCCTCTTTTTAAAAGGGCACCAGCCCTATCAGATTAGAGCCCCACCCTATGACATCATTTAAGCTTTAACACTTCCTCACAAGCTCTATCTCTACATACAGTCACATTGAGGGGTTAGGCCTTCAACATGAGTTTTAGAGGACACAATTCAGCCCAAAAGCATTCTGCCTCTGTCCCAAAGCCACAAATGCACATCCTAATCACCTTCAAAATATATTCATTCCATCCCATCAGCCCCAAAAGTCTTACCTCATTCCAGCATCAACTCAAGTCTAAAAGTCTCATTTAAATAACAACTAAATCAGCCCAGCTGGCGTGGCTCAGTGGTTGAGCATTGACCTATGAACCAGGAGGTCACGGTTCGATATCTGGTCAGGGCACATGCCCAGGTTGCAGGCTTAATCCCCAGTGTGGGGCGTGCAGGAGGCAGCTGGTCAATGATTCTCTCTCATCATTGATGTTTCTATCTCTCTCTCCCTCTCCTTTCCTCTCTGAAATCAATAAAAACATATTTTAAAAAGAACCACACACACAGAGAAACTTTCATCAAGTTAGTAACAGAAAAGAGAAAAATAAAGATAAAAATTGGCTCATTACAATAACTTTGGAAAGGACCTATAGACTTTGAATTCACAACCTGGTCTTCAATTTAGATTCTTCTGGTCTCTATAACCCTAAATGTTTGATAAATTCTATGTCCTAAATAACAAAAAAGGGGGAGGAATAATAAATCATAAAAAAATAGGTTTTCTTAGATAAAGAAAAAATGTTGACCTCTGCCATTGGTCTTACTTTTATCAGGAAAGTAGCCTATAGGATGGAAGGCAACCAATGAATTTATAAACCATAAATAGAGGTTTTCATTCTCAAAAACAATATGATGGAGGTAATATAACAAAACGGTTCAAGGCATGGACTATCAAGTCAAGTTGTCTGTGTTTGAATATTTACTTCACCACTTACAACTTATGTAATTTGTGGCAAATTACTCAATCTCTATATGCCTCAGTTTCCTCATCTGAAAAATGGAGAGACAAGAGTAAAATCTATGTCTTAGGGTTGTTGTGAAGATCAAATAAGTTAGTACTTTTTAGTTCTTAGACCAGCATCTGGCATACTGTAAGACCTCAAAAAGTTAGATGCTATGGTTCTTATTAGTAGTAGTATTACTACAATTACTATTACTACCATTTTCAACATGCAGTTGATAAGAGTTTGACATGTGGTTCAGAAAAACTATAGTAACAACAACAATAAAAGTACAACACACACACACACACACACACACACACACACACACACACACACACACCACAGCTTGAAAAATTGAAAGAGAACAGACTCCAAATCAGTCCTTTAGTGAATCCTCAAGCTGTTTTAAGAGAAATTAAGGAGAAGGTAGCAATATAGCAACAATGCATGGCTCGTTTCAAGAAGAAATCTGTGTGATTTGGATAAGTTAATCTCAGGAGAAATGACAAGTTCTCTTACTCAAACATTTATCAAACTTTAATGAGGCGTACTATACTATGTATCAGGTATTGAGCCAGATGCTAGGAATACAAAAGGAAGAATTTCTATGCCTTTAAAAACTTTGTGTTCCTGTCAAAGAAATATACATAGATCATAATACATGGTAGGTTATATAATAAATGTATGCACAGGGTACTATAGAGGAGAGACATCTAGCTAGACTTGCGGGAAGGACAAAGCGGCAGAAAGCTTTTCCAGAGTTAATGACATTAAACAAAGTCTTAAAAGAATAACAACTGGTAAATGGGGATAGAAAAAGTAAAATCATTCCTCCTGGGATAAAAGTTGGCAAATGGACAAAAAAGATGAGCACCATTGCCCTGCCTACAGCCACACAAAACCAAAAGATCTCTTCCTAAAGCTACTGGGCAGAGATCCATTGGAGGCATGGGTCTGAATATATACATAGGTGTGTTTCTAGAATATATACTGTTTACTCACACCACAACACCATCCTCCCCAATTCAAAATAAGCCACATTTGGAGAACTCACAGAAAGCTGTGATTAAGAGCTTCAGAGATAAGTTTCTCACTTACAACACTGGGCGGCAGCACTGGGCAATGGCTTCCTCTGGCTTTCTTCTTGAATAGAATACTAGAAGCAGAAAGAAGAAAAAAAAACACATATAATAAGAGGCCCGAGTAAAGAGGGGAAAAATCACAGGTACCTGTAAAAAGGTTTAGTGTTTGACGAGAGTCAAAGTTTTTATTGAAAAGAAATAGATGATCCTGCTGCTGATTTCCCTGTGCGATCCCAACATAAAGGCCAGAATATCAGAAATGACACTGGTCCCATGCAACAGGCTAAATCAGGATAGCAGAGACCATTCTGGCCAAGGACACCTGCCAAGCAGCTGTAGAAGGCTTAGTCTGTTGTTGTTTTTTTAACTTTTTAAAAGATTTATCACTGGAGGACATGTATTATTTTTAGAGAGAGAGGAAAGGGGAGAGAGACAGAGAGAGAAACATCTATGTGAGAAACACTGGTCAGTTGCCTCCCGTACACACCCCGACCGGGGATTGAACCCACAACCTAGGTATGTGCCCTGACTGGGAGTCAACCCTGCAACCTTTTGGTGTTCAGGACAATGCTCCAACCAACTGAGCCACCCAGCCGAGGCAGAGAAGGCTTAGTTTTAGAGAAGGTTCAGAATACTTAGAAAATGCAGTCTTCTAAGTTTTCCTATGGATAAAGTATAGATTTCCCCATTGGAATGATGGAACTGAAAACCTCTCCAAGACTGAGTTTCTGATGTTTAAAAAAAAAGTAACAGTGCTTCCTCCCTCATGAGGTCATGTGTGCAATTACTTATTTAAGCATACAATGCAACATCTGAAATCTACTCCAGTCCCCTTCACATTTACACTCTAGCCTTCCCAACCCAATCCACCACCATTTACCACCAAAAAAACAAATACAGAGTGCCCTGGCTGGTGTTTCTAAATGGTTAGAGCATTGGCCTGAGCATCAAAGGCTCATGTGTTCAATTTCTGGTCAAGGGCACATACCTGGGTTGTAGGTTTGATCCCTAGTCCTGGTCCTGGTCTGGACATGTGGGGAAGGCAACCAATTGGGGAAGGCAACCAATTGATGTGTCTCTTTCACATCAATTTCTCTCTCTCTCTCTCTCTCTCTCTCTCTCTCTCCCTCCCTCCCTCCCTTCCTTCCACTCTCTCAAGGAAGAAAGGGAGGGAGTCAAGGAAGGAAGGAAGGGAGGGAGGGAGGGAGGGAGGGAGGGAGGGAGGGAGGGAGAGGGAGGAAGGGAGGGAGGGGGGGGGAGGAAAAGAAAAAGAGAATTGGGTTAAAATTAACAAAAACAAAAAGCAAATACAGAGTACTGAAGCCATACAAATTAAATTTTTAATTAAATTTAAGTCTTGAGGATGGGCAGGATTTGAAAAGGCAAAACAAAAAAGAAAAAGACATAAACACTTTAACACAGGTACATAGTTTGGAAGACAGAATAGTTTGGTGCAGATCCCATTGGAAGACTGGGAAAACAACGTGGTCCAGCAACTTGCAAATAATCTGGAGTTTTCATCCTGACTCTGCCACTTATTAATAAGCTGTGACATACTGGGCAATACAGAGCTTTCCTAACATTGCCGATAAATGTGTCACTCATTTAACAGATATTTCTTGAGCACTTATTATGTGCAAAGCCTTGTTCCAGGCAATGGGGAAGTAGAGTATGTAAACCATGGTAAGGAGTTAGATTTTATTCTAGTGTATTGGGAGGCCATTTAGAGTTTTAAACACAAGAGAGATGTGACTTGATTACACTTTAAAAATCACTCTGGCCCTGCCCAGCTAACTCAATTGGTGAGAGTATAGTCCTGATTTGCCAAGGTTGTGGATTCAATCTCCAGCCAGGCACATACAAGAATCAACCAATGATTGCATAAATAAGTAGAACAACAAATCAATGCTTCTCTCTCTCTATCTCTGTCTCTCTCTCTTGTCTCTCTCTCTCCCCTCCTCCCTCCTCCCCTCCTTTCCTCTCTCTCTCAAACCAATAAACATTTAAAAAATCACTCTCGCCCTAGCTGGTTTGGCTCAATGGATAGAGCATCAGCCTGTGGACTGAAAGGTCCCAGGTTCGACTCTGGTCAAGGGCTCCGGGCTTGATCCCCAGTAAGGGGTGTGCAGGAGCAGCCGAACTATGTTTCTCTCTCACCAATATTTTTATCTCTTTTCCTCTCCCTTCCTCTCTAAAAAAAAATCAACAAAAACATATTTAAAGCCCTAACTGGTTTGGCTCAGTGGATAGAGCGTCAGCCTGTGGACTGAAGGGTCCCGGGTTCGATTCCGGTCAAGGGCATGTACCTTGGTTGCGGGCACATCACCAGTAGGGGTTGTGCAGGAGGCAGCTGATCGATGTTTCTCTCTCATCGATGTTTCTAACTCTCTATCCCTCTCCCTTCCTCTCTGTAAAAAAATCAATAGCATGTATTTTTTAAAACATATTTTTAAAAAATAAAAAGTCACTCTGGCTACTGTGTGAGATAAACTGTATGGAACAAAAAGGGAAATAGACCAATGATTGCAATTATCCAGACAAAAGTTGATGATGGTTTATATAGCAGTGTCAGTAGAGAAAGGCCTTTCAAGTGGTTGGATCCAAAATACAAAACATTTTTTGTATAAAAATATACTTAGATAGGATACTATACAAGCAATAACCCATGATACAAATATCAGAGGTAGATAGGAAGATCATAAGTCAAGTACAATTTATTTTATTTTTGTAATATGTTTTTATTGATTTTAGAGAGAGGAGAAGGGAGTGGGGAGAGAGAGAAACATCAATGGGCTGCCTCCTGCACAACCCCTACTGGGTGGGGATCAAGCCTACAACCCAAGCATATGCACTGACCGGAAATCACACCAGCAGCTTTTTGGTGCATGTGACAATGCTCAACCAACTGAGCCACACCAGCCAGGGTGAAGTCAGGTACTATTTACTTATTTATTTATTAATTATTTATATTTATCTATTTATTTATTCAGTCCACGGGCCGACACTCTATCCATTGAGCCAAACCGGCTAAGGCCTACCTTACTCAGAATTCAAATTTTCTTTATTGTCTCAAAGATATCTTGTCACAGTTGATTTGTTCAATTCATGATCCAATCAAATTGTACATATTTGGTTATTATGTCTTTTAAATCATTTTAATTCTACAGTTGTTTCTTCTTCTCTCATTTGTTATGTAGAATGCTGTACATTCTAGATTTGGCTGATTATATCCCAAGGTTTTATTTACCATGTTCCTCTATCCCTCTTACTTTCTTTAAACTGGAAATTATTTCTAGTAGTTTGAGGATTAGATTGAAATTTATATTGAAGGTGTGTGTGGGGTTTGTTTTTTTTTCTTTTTGGTGGGGTGATGGTGTCTTATGTCACTTTTAGTGATATTAAATTTCAATAGTGGATTCAACTGGTATCAGCCTATTTCATCCATTATGAAGTGATCCCACCAGCCTTTCACCTAATGGTTTTCACAGCCTAAAACCGACATAAAATTTTTAAGCAGACATAAAAATGAGCATAGTAAACTGAAACCTTTACACTTACCTCCAAGATTCAGTAATTATCAAGATTTCATAGATGATATATCCAATAAGGGGTTAATATATAAAACACAAACAACTCAATAACAAAATAAATAAATAACCCAATCAAAAACTGGGCAAAGGACATGAAAGGACATTTTTCCACAGAAGATACAGATGGCCAACGTACATATGAAAAGATGTTCAACATCACTAATCATCAGGAAAACGGAAATCAAAACCAGAGTAGCAAAAGTGGTACTTTTCCAAAAGTAAAATAACTTATTTTTCCCTCCGCCACCAATATCAAGAGCATTCCCTATTCCTGATGGCCCAGATTGAGTTGTGTTCTTTTCTGTGCAACAGACCCATTTCTGGAGATAAGTTAGTACAGCAGGACACCAAGCATGTAATAGTCTATACATCCTTTTAAAAAGCAAACAAATAAGGATATATAGATCCAAAAATCTGGGAACTAGCAGAAGAAATGCCTTTGTTCGTCTGTGTAACAAGAGGACAGTTTTTCTAGTATAAGCTCCTTCCCCAACAATCTAGAGCCAAACTACTGCCAATTCAGCCACTTCTGGGCAACACTGAGAATAGGAAAAGTAGGAGAAAAATCCTTCTAATGAAATGTCAGGCAATCTTCCAGATGCCTTTTTCTTTTTTTTTTCTTTTTTCTTTTTTTTAAGTATATTTTATTGATTTTTTACAGAGAGGAAGGGAGAGGGATAGAGAGTTAGAAACATCGATGAGAGAGAAACATCGATCAGCTGCCTCCTGCACACCTCCCACTGGGGATGTGCCCACAACCAAGGTACATGCCCTTGACCGGAATCTAACCTGGGACCCTTGAGTCCATAGGCTGACGGTCTATCCACTGAGCCAAACTGGTTAGGGCAAGATGCCTTTTTCTTTAACACAGTTTAAAGTCTTTCATTCTTGAACATACTCACAGGTCCCTCTGTTGAAAAACTATAAAGTGTTCTATAAAAAGATTTTCTCTACCTCTCCATATTGCAAATAAGACTGTTCCTACCTCATTGTCAGCACCCAAGGCATTGATTTGCTCCAATTTGTAGGTCCAATATCTGGCTTCTTCCTCTGGGATATCTACCATGAAAAAGAAGAAACCAGATTATAAGGTTAATAATTTTTTTAAAATATATTTTATTGATTTTTCACAGAGAGGAAGGGAGAGGGATAGAGAGTTAGAAACATCGATGAGAGAGAAACATCGATCAGCTGCCTCCTCCACATGTCCTATGGGGGATGTGCCCGCAACCAAGGTACATGCCCTTGACCGGAATCGAACCCGGGACCCTCCAGTCCGCAGGCCGACGCTCCATCCACCGAGCCAAACCGGTGCTGGCATGGTTAATAATTTAATCATGGGTCAATAATGCTTTGTTCGATCGGATAATCAAACTTAGAAGGGTGGTAGCAATGGACTAATTTTACTGGTGGCTTCATTCTTTCTATGAACATTATCTTGAATCTTTACAAAAACCAAAATAATGTTCTATTATTTCCACTGGACCAAAAGACTTAATATTGTTTTTTTAATATATTTTATTGATTTTTTACAGAGAAGAGGGGAGAGGGACAGAGAGTTAGAAACATCGATGAGAGAGATCGATCAGCTGCCTCCTGCACGCCCCCCAGTGGGGATGTGCCCACAACCAGGGTACATGCCCTTGACCGGAATCGAACCCGGGACCCTTGAGTCCACAGGCCGACGCTCTATCCACTGAGCCAAACTGGTTCGGCAAGACTTAATATTGTTAATGTGTTAATACTACTCAAAATGATCTACAGATTCAATGTGATCACTATCAAAATCCCAATATGTTTTTTACAGAAATAGAAACCACATCCTAAAATTAATATGGAATCTCAACAGATCCCAAATAGCCAAAACAATTTTAACCCTTTTCGGTCCAACGTGGAGGCTGACTCGACAGACCAGGTGCTAAGAGCAGGTCTGACGTCGAGCTGAGGTCTAGTGAGACAGATAACTTCAACATTCAATCCCATCAATTAATTTGGACCAGACTGTTTGAATTCCAAAAATAAAATTGGACTGCAAAGGGTTAAAAGTAAGAATAAAGCTGGAGGACTCACATTTCCTAATTTCAAAATTTACTATAAAGCTACTAGAGGCCTGGTGCACAAATTCGTGCAGGGTGGGGTCTGGCCTACCTGCCCCAATGGGGGCCCATCGGGCCGGGCTGGCCAGGGGTAGGGGCTGCAGGTGGTTGGCTGGCCAGCTCCGCCCCCAATCGGGGCAGGGGTTGGGCCGATCAGGGCCCGGATCAGGCTGGTTTGGCTGCCGCAGTGCACGTCATAGCCACCGGTCGTTCTGGTCGTCCTGCCATTCCAGTCACTGGGCTTTTATATATATAGATAGTAGTCAAAATAGTGTGGTACTATATTATGTGACATGATAGAGGTATCAGCTAATGCTATGATGGTGGTAATCATTTTCCAATATATAAATGTATCAAATCAATACACTGTACACCTTAAATTTACAGTGTTAAATGTCAATTATATCTTAATACAAATATTTTGAGTGGGAGGGAAAACAGTGTGATACTGACATAAAGACATATATAGATCAATAGAATAGAGAGCTAAGAATTAAACCCTCATATATGTGGTCAAATGATTTTTTGACAAGGATACATTCAGTGGGGAAAAGAGTCTTTTCAACAAATGTTGCTGGGAAAACTAAATATCTATATGCAAAAGAATAAAGTTGGATCCTTACCTAACACCATAAAAAAAATAACTCAAAATGATTCAAGACCTAAAACCATAAAACTACTAGAAAAAAGCAGAGGGCAAAAGCTGCATGACATTGTATTTGGCAATGATTTCTTGAATAGGACACCAAAGGCACAGGCAACAAAAGAAAATATAGACAAATTGGACTTTATGATAATCAAAAAATTTCTGCAGTAAAAGATAATACCAATAGAATAAAAAGGCAACCAACAGAATGGGAGAAAATACCTGCAAATCAAATATCTGATAAGGGATTAATACCCAAAATATACAGAGAACTCTTAAAACTCAACAACAAAACAAAAACCCAATTAAAAAATGAAGGACTTGATAGATTCTCCAAATATATACAAATGGCCAATAAGCACATGAAAACATGCTCAACAACACTGATCATTAGGGAAATACAAATCAAAACTACAATGAGATACTACTTCACACCAATTAGAATGGCTACCATAAAAAACAAAAAAAACAAAACAAAAACAGAAAATAACAAGTGTTGGTGAGGATGTGAGAAACTGGAATCCTTGCATACTATTGGTAGGACTAGAAAATGGTACAGCCACTAGGAAAAAACAGTATGGCAATATTTTAAAAATTAAAAATAGAATTACCATATAATGCAGCAATTCCATCTTGGAGTAATAATATACTCAAAAGAAATTAAAGCAGAATCTCAGAGATTTCTGCACACCCACGTTCATAGCAGCATTATTCACAGTAGCTAAAATGTGGACGCAACCCAAGTGTCCACCAATGAATGAATGGATAAGCAAAATGTAGTATGTATATTAAATGGAATATTATTCAGTCTTAACAAGGAAGGAACATATGTTGCAACATGGATGAACCTTGAGAATATCATGCTGAGAAACATGCCAGTTACAAAAAGACAAATACTATATGATTCCACTTATCTGAGATGCTTAGAATAGTAAAAAATCATAGACATAGAAAGAATGGTGGTTGCCAGGGGCTGAGGGGTAAGGAGAATAGGAGTTATTTTTAATGGATACAGAGTTTGATTTTTACAAGATGAAAAAAGCTATGGATATGAATGATGGTGATGGTTCACGACATTATGAATGTATTAATATCACTGAACTGTACACTTAAAATAGTTAAGATAGTTAATTTCATGTTATTTGTATTTTACCACAATAAAAAAAGAAAAATTAATAATGGTATATACTCATTTCTATATATTTAAGATTGACTATTACAATTTACCCCAAAACAAAACTCACCTTTTATAAACATCAGATATATACAGCATGAAAGAGAAACAATGAGGCAACATATGGATCAGAACAACTTTGGAGACATTTAGACAGATATATCTTCCTGCCTAAAACTTCACCTCCTTCCCCTCGAACTGCTCTTCAGCAATTAGTGGCAATATTTCAAAGTCTTATAATAAAACCTTCAAATAATCTACTACCTAGTTTGTGAAGCACTTCCTCATCCATAAAATGGTGTACCCTGTAATTGTTTAAAAGAAGTGAGAGGACAGGAAGAGCTGCTATGCTGCAGGTCTATAAGTTCTGATGTAGAATAATGTAGAATGATTCTCTAAGACAGTGGTTCTCAACCTTGGCTGCACATTAGAATCACCTGGGAATCTTTTTAAAATCCTGATTTCTGGACCTCATCCTCGGGAAATTCTGTTTCTTTGTTTCTTTGTTATGGGGTGGGGCCACAACATTAGTAACAAAGAAACAGAATTTCTGGAGGATGGGGCCCAGAAATCAGGATTTTAAAAAGATTCCCAGGTGATTCTAATATGCAGCCAAGGTTGAGAACCACTGCTCTAAGATACATTGTTAAGTGGAGAGCATCAGGGACACCAAATGTGTTCGAATATACTACTATTTGTGTTTTAAAAAGAGATTAAGTCTATATTTGCTTATAGATTCAAAGACTGACTCTGCAAAGATACACAAGAAAGTACTAATCATGACAGCCTATAAGGAAGAGAATTTATTTGTGAGGGAGGCTTAGTAATTTTTACTGGGTAACTTTTTAAACCACTATGCATGTATTCCTGCCTTACCCCTCAAAATAGTTTTAAGAAAAATATAGAGCTGTGATTCTGTTTACTGCAATATAATTTATAATAGTATAAACTTTGAACAAACAAAATACCCAACAAGAGGAGTGGTTAAATATATTATGGTTTAAAAGCCCAGGCCCTAGCTGGTTTGGCTCAGTGTGAACAGTCAAAATTAAAATTAAACTAAATTAAAACAAGATACCATATCAACCAATTACACAGAAAAAGGTTAAAGATTGTGAAATACAAAATGTTAGCCAAGATGTGTAGAAAAGGGACATCTTGGATACAGCTGATAAGACTATAAAATGGCACAATCTTTCTGACAAGTAACTTGGCAATACTATGAAAAGTAATGGTGCATATATTGTTTGACCCATTCTTTATTTTGTTTGTTTTTTCATTTAAATTCTTTATTGTTTAAAGTATTACATATGTCTCCTTTTTCACCCCATTGACCTCTCCCCGGCCACTTCCACCCCCTTGACCCATTCTTTAAATTCTACTTTAAGGACTTTCTCCTAGACTCACAAATGGGCACAGATATACAAAGCTGTTCATTACAGCAGTATGTAATATTTAAAAAAAAAACCCTACACGTCAATTAATAAAGGGTTGCTGAGATCATTTACCATATAGGCATCTGTTCAGACCAGCAAGATAGACCTTAAGTATAACATGGAACAATGTCCAAGATAATGTGCTTTTGTAGTTCATACAACACTTTATGCAGTTATGTGCGGTTTAATAACAAGGGATGTTCTGAGAAATGCATCTGTAGGCAATTACACCACTGTGCAAGCATCATAGAGTGTACTTACACAAACCTAGATGATATGACCTACTATACACCTAGGCTTTATGGTATACCACCATCATATGGGTGGCCCGTCATTGACTGAAATGTCATTATGCGGCACACGACTGAATCACTATATGTAATATATACATATGATTCAAATTTTGTCAAAAGAAATTTCTGCAAAAGAAATTTCTTATTTCTAAACCAAGACACACAAAAAATTAATAGTGGTTAATTTCTTTGACCACTGAAAATAGAATGCAAAGGAGGTGGGAAGAGAAACAACTTTTATTCATGTACATTTCCATACTATTTGAATTTTTGCCAGGGAATGTATTTTTTGTGATTTTTTAAAAATTTCCTTTTAAATTACTATTCTACTTATTAGTGCTACGTCATTGTTAAAATGAACAGATCATAAGTTATACATTCACTTCAAGACAATAAATGTTAAAATGTTATCACAAGAATAAGTTATTGGTGTTCTCTAACACGCAGGTATTTCATAAATCATACTAAACAGTCATAAAAAAGTAAATACTTAAATAGAATGCTCTTAGTATAGATTCTTTAATTAGCACCATTCTAGCATCAACTTTGCATCATCCCTGAGATAGGCATTATAGGAAATAGAGAGGAAAACAAGAATGCCCTCAAAAAAGATGGCTGATAAGACAAAAGACACAGGAATAAAATAAATAGCAAACAATTCGAAACGATATGGTAAAAAGTATTAAATGACATTAAAATCTAATCAAACAGACTCACCAAAAGGCAACTCAAATCTTGTATCAAGCAAAATTTTATGAGGAGTTGGGTTTTTAGTTCCACAGATCTCATCATCTTTCATTAATGTCTCTGCCTCCAATGTGGACCACTCCCCGGGCCCTTCCTAGAAAACAGAGATCTAAGATTAAACTTTACTTTTTCATGATTCCCCTCTTGGTTTAAGAGCCAAGTGTTTTTCTCTGAATTTCCTTGTTGGAGAGCTTCTGAGGGCCACTCACTTCCTGATAAGGCAAACACACCACTGTCACCACCTACCTCTCCTGCTCTCCGCAAGCCCACTGAGGAAAGAATTTCCGGAGTACCAAACCGAAAAAACAAGCATCTCCATGGATCAATATTTAATCTGTGTCATTCTTAATGACTGTGTCACTTCATGTGTTTCTATTTCTAATCAGTAAAGAGCTACTAACATTGCTAGTTAAGTAGACTTGAACTGGGGCCACAATGAAAATGAACTGCCCGTTGCTGGGGGAGTACAAATTTAACCAGAACTAAAAGAAATTCCGGAAGGAGGGTCACATTTTCATCACCCCACTCCCAGAGAAAACTCCCAGTCCATGAAAAAGATATATAGGAATACTATAGATTCTATCCACATTCAAAGTGAGTGTGTATGAAGAAATTATGCTGAATTCTAACCTGGGGAAGTGGAATGGGAGTTCAGTCTTGAAAATAATGTACAGAGACACTGTGAATACCAATTGCCAAAACTGGTAGTTCCTTAAACCCTATTAGGGTTACATGTAGAAGGAAGACTGAAACCAGTCCCCTGGGGATGAGTGACCCAAAGAAAAAAAGCAGAAAATAGGATCCAGAGTAGAGAACAGAACCCATCCAGATGGCTGAGGAAGTTTAATGGACTCCTCTCAGGAAAGTATCTTAGTGGGAAAGGTAAAAACCACAGGTACCCTAAATCAATCACACACAGTCTCTCCCTTCCCTCCTTTACCCTCCTGATATCTCTCCTCTCTCTCTCTATCTGTCCTCTCTATCTGTCCTCTCTCCCTCTCCCTCTCTCTCTCTCTCTCTCTCTCTCTTCTACCTGATAAGTTTAAAGAGGTGTTCTAGCACTTTTTAATTCAGTCACAAGGCAGAGGAACAGTACTCAGAAGGGCTGTCTACCTGATAAGTTTAAAGAGGTGTTCTAGCACTTTTTAATTCAGTCACAAGGCAGAGGAAAGACCAGACCGAAATAAAATCCCCTAAACCTCTAGGTGAGGTGAGGAATAAGCTGGTTGCATGCCCTCTAATTAGCAAGGGGGCAGAGCAATCTGAGATGTATGGATGAATATTAGTTGAATGGAGATTGAGTGGGGAGAACTAAGGCTAGAACCATACCTATAAGTGGGCAATGCAAGGACTGACCTCATTTGACTGTCGAATAGTCTTCAGTGCAATCCACACGGTACCCACCATGGTGTCCCAAATCAGTCCTTTGTTCCATACCTCCACACTTAGACCCAGGTCCAGGCGACTAATCTCACTAAAAGAAAGAAAAAAATGCTTTAAATAAAGCCAGACAATATGAAGGAAACAGCTACATTTCCTGTTTACCTTGAATATTTTATTACCAGGATTTTGTCAAGAAAAATCAAAATGCCCCAGAATGCTGCAACCATTGTTTAGATTCCTAGAAACCTATGTAAGGTATCTATAGAAAAATGCCTTTGTTAGTCTGTCCCCTCTCCTTTGGAGCTACAATTATGATTAGATTAACAGTTTCGTTTTTAAAAAAAAAAAGTGAAGCCAAGCAATGTGGGCATTACTACAAAGGCTGCCTGCGTACACTCTTCATCCACCCTTAGGCAATAGTCTTATATGTTTTCTTATTATACTAACACTGCCCACAACTTATATCTATGGATTGTATACAGGAAACTTGTAGAAAAAACAAGGCTTCTTCACAAGATTTATTAAATGGGTTGTAAGCAGAAGAAAAAACATCCCTGAGAACATCTAAATTTGATGGGAACACATGGTCAGGGACAAGTGAGGGACACTAGTGTGCCAGTTCATACCACACAGCCCCTCATTAGACATTAACTCATTAGACATTATCAGTTAAAGTAGGCACTGCCACTTATTAACAAAATGATTAGCACAGGATAATGATAAATAATGATGATTTTCCTATAATAATAACTAAGAATTTTTTTTAAAAGAAATGATTCTGGCCCTGACTGGTTTGGCTCAGCGGATAGAGCGTTGGCCTGCGGACTGAAAGGTCCCAGGTTCGATTCCAGTCAGGGGCATGTACCTTGGTTGTGGGCACATTCCCAGGAGGGGGTTGTGCAGGAGGCAGCTGATCGATGTTTCTAACTCTCTATCCCTCTCCCTTCCTCTCTGTAAAAAATCAATAAAATATATTTTTTTAAAAAAGAAATGATTCTGGAAAGAGCCAAAAACCAATAAGCAAAAGCAATGTCATGTATTGGTGGAATATCAGCTTAGAAGGGCTAACTCAAACTCAACTATAGCCTTACAGTGGAACAAGCAAACACTTATGTTAATGCTAAAAACGTTCTCCAGAAAGCTCTTGTTGAAACACAAGCTTATTTGAGAAGAAATGCAAGAAAGATGAGAAAAGGCCAATTCCAGCAGAAAAAGCAAAAAGGTATTCTCAGGAAAACATCTACTTATCACATGCAGAAATTTCAAGTTAACACGTTGGAGAAAAGCTTGGCTTCCCTGTTGTACTAGTAAGATAAATGTTCTCAGATTCAAAATTTGGGGATGTGGTATTATAGCCATAGAATTCAAATCAAATGTGTTGAAAATAAGTGAAGCAAAGAAAAATTTCCCCTTTACATAAATACAATAGAATGTAATAATGAGCTCATTTGTTCATTTACTTAATGTTTCCTGAGCACATACATATGACTTGGTTCTTTGAGGAAGACATAATCCAGGACCCAGTTCCTGTCTCTAAAAACTTCCAAGCTATCAGGAGTTGACTCACATTCATAATTCGTCTCTAAGAATAGATTACGAATCCACAAGAGAACAAAACTGCAGACATACTTCACCTTCCACATACCTCAATTGTTCCTGTAACTCTGTAGTTTTCAAAAAGAATATTTAACATATGCTAATACATTTAAATGTTTTTAAATATTTAACATATTTTATAAACCTTACATATACACAAAATCTTGGGCCTGTAATTGTTTAATCCAATGTAATTACCTTGAAAAGGTAATCAAATATTGTAGGTACGCTGCTGCTGCAAAGTACTTACAACATAAAATCTTGTTCCCAGGAAGGTTGATCACCACGCACTGCTACAGTTGTGCTCTTCACATTCTGCACTTTCAGGGTCACATACGTGTTAAATTTATCTTCGAAAAAAATGCAAAATGAAGATGTAATACTTAGTGCTCAGACTGTTACCCAATCTCACACAGCCTTTGGAGTTAAATAATATCCAAAGTAAAACATCACATATAGAAGAAATGGAAACATATTGTACAAAGTAGCATCATTCAAAACATAGTAGACTCGCAAAAAATATATAAAACACATATTACCTTCAAAAGCATAACCTATAAGTGTTTTGCAAATTTAAGAAATGTATTTGACCCAGGAGACACACAAACACATATAAACTAGAACAAAGCTTCATAAAATATGAGATGGTACATTGATATTTACTATTCTATTTCATTTAATCTATAAAAATGTTAACATAACCAACTAATTTAATTTTATAGCACACCTGCAGCTTGAAAAAACTAATATAATTCATCTAATAGGAAAGATATATAACTTTAAATGTAGAAAATAAAAGTGCCATTAAGAGGAAAAGTAATAAAGGATTGTAGAAGAGGAAAGGGTAAACTCTAGCTGTTGAAAGGGACAAGAATTCAGGATAAACCCTCATAAAGGAAATGAATTTCAAGCTTGATCTATTCAATTATCAGAAACATTATTACAGAGTTGGGAAAAGGAAATTCTCTGAGAATATAAGTTGAGTATTAAACAAAGGTAGGTAGCCTGAACTTCAAAACTCAGAGATCTGACCTACTGCTTAACACAGCGCATTCTATTCTCACCCTACTACCTTCACATCAGCCATGATGAGGGCACTGAGAGTTTTTTCATATAAACAAGTTCACCATAATTTTATAAAATGAAAAAGGAAGAAAGTTATCTTTGACTCATCAAACTGGTAAAGACTGCTTAAAATGATTACCTAATGTTAGAGATGTGAGAAAATGGTCCCTGTCATGCACTTCTAGCAGAAGGTAAATCTTTCTCTTAAGTATCATTAAAAATTATGTATTTTATATATAATTCCCATCCATATCCAGTGTCCCAGTGCAGTAGACTACTGAGCTATGTTTCATATCATATGATTTTGTACTCCACTCTCCATATCCAACCGTAGCTAATTAGATCAGGGGCAGATGCCACTCAAGAGCATCCAGTCTATGGGATGGCCAAAAGGTGCGGCCAATATGATTCCTTCCCAAAATATTGTAAGTAGAGAAAACAAAGAAACAGTGGTAGCTACAGGTAGGTTATAAAGCTTGAATGAGTAGCATACACACTCCACTGGAGAAAGCCATCATGGGCTGTATGCAAGCATAGAAAGCCAGCTGGAACAGAGTCTTACTTAAAAAAAAAAAAAGTCTTAATCCAAAACCAGTGGAGAGAGTAGAAAGCTCAGAACCTGCTTTAGTTCCTGTTGCACTCAAGGTTTTGCTTGGTTTTTCAGATTTCCCTGGGTTCTCAACCATGTTCATTTTTTTCTAGTTATTTCTAGAGCTCTTTCCTTCCCCAGCAGTAATCAGAGTAACTTGACATTTACAATTAAGGAAATGTGTATAAAAATAAGGAGATACGCCGAAACCGGTTTGGCTCAGTGGATAGAGCGTCGGCCTGCGGACTGGGGGGGTCCCGGGTTCGATTCCGGTCAGGGGCATGTGCCTGGGTTGCGGGCACACCCCCCGTGGGGGATGTGCAGGAGGCAGCTGATCGATGGTTCTCTCTCATCGATGTTTCTGACTCTCTGTCTCTCTCCCTTCCTCTCTGTGAGAAATCAATAAAATATATTTTTTAAAAAAATAAGGAGATACTATTTTTACCTTCAGATGGACAAAGATTAAAGAGTTTCATATTATTTCATGTTGATAAGGATTTGGGAAAATAAACCCTCACACACTGTGTAGGTTAGTATAATCTAGCAAAAACTTTCAGAAGGTTAATGTGGCAGCATCTACCAAATTTCTCTAAAATACATACCGTTGGCTCAGCAATTCTATTTCTGGACTCTAGTGTACATTTACATTTGTAAAAGCAGGCAATGATAAATGCACAAGAACATTTACTTCTTAAAATAGCAAGAAATTAGAAACAACCTAAATATTCAATCAAGTATCTAGGGTACAAATCTACAACAAAATTCTGTACATTTTTTTAAAAAAGAATCAGATATACACACACATAAGAAAAGATTTTCATGATGTGCTGGGAAAAAACTAGGTTGCACAAAGATATGTGTAGCTAATCCAGTAGTGTACACACACATACACAGAAAAAAAGTCTGAACGATATATAAAAACCTCTAAATAGTTACGTCAGGAAGTATAATTGAGTTGGTCAAGAAGTAAGGGAACTTTAACTTTTTGCTAGATAGATATATAGATTCTGATTTCTTTAAAGTTTTACAACAGCATTGTTTTTCCCCCCAGCTTTTCTGAGGTATAATTGACAATTTAAAACTGTATATTTTAAGGGATACAACCTGATTATTTGACATAAGATACACTGTGAAATAATCACCACAATCAAGCAAATTAACATATTCATCACTACCTCTTATAGTTACCATTTTGAATGAGTGAGAGAGGGAGTATGTGTGTTGAAAACACTTAAGATCTTCCCTCTTAAAAAAATTACAAGTATAGCCTACCAGTGTGGCTCAGTGGTTGAGCGTCAACCCATGAACCAAGATATCCCTGGTTCGGTCCTAGTCAGGGCACATGCACAGGTTGCAGGCAGGCTTAATCCCAGTAGGGGGCATGCAGGAGGCAGCCAATTGATGATGTTTCTCTCTCATGGATGTTTCTATCTATCTCTCTGCCCTTCCTCTCCCTCTAAAAATCAATCAAAACATTTTTTTAAAAAAAGAAAGAAAATTACAAGTATACAACACTTGTCAACTATATACACATTGCTGTACATTAGATCTCCAGAAATTTTTCATCTTGCTTAACTAAAACACTGTACCCCCTTGACCAACATCTCCCCATACTGATTTTTTAATTAATGTTTTAATGAATTTAGTATGTTTAATTAATTTAATAAATAAATACAACAAAATTAATTTTTAAAAGATTGCTTTTAAATCACAGAACGTATGAGGGAACATAGCAAGTAAAGATGGATCTTACCTGGTGAACCCTGGAATTTGGCTCTTTTAACTGCAAAAAGAAAAAGAAGGCATCATGAAAAATGTCACAAATTAATTTATTTAACCAACATTTCCTGAGCACCTATTAAGCCAAGCATTGTTAAAGTTAGGACTAGATTTTTCTTTAAAGTCAATTTTTTTAAATCTTTATTGTTGAAAGTATGACATATGTCCCCATTTTTTTCCCATTGACCCCTTATAGCCTACCCCTACCCCTCCACCCCAAGCCTCTACCACCCTACTGTCTAAGTCCATGGGGTATGCATATATGCATACAATTTCTTTGGTTGATCTCTTCCACCATCCCACCCACCTCCACCTTCCCTCTGAGATTCAACAGTCTGTTCTAAGCTTCTATGTCTCTGGATCTACAGTGGGGCCTTGACTTACAAGTTTAATTCTTTCTGAGACCGAGCTCGTTAAGGAGCTCGTTAACTCAAATTACTCTGTCAAATCAATGCAAAAAATCAGCCGAGAGACAGCTGGTATCTCAAAAAACTCATTAGTCGGGACACTCGTAAGTCAAGGCCCCACTGTATTTTGTTCAACAGTTTATTTTGTTCATTAGATTCCACATACCAGGTGTACTGGTTAATAATACAGATTTTGTAATCAAAGAAAACATGATAATTTCAAGAGAAACATCAAAAGTGCTTTATTCAAAGTACTGTCCATCGCTAGCTACACATTTCCCCCATCTTTCAGTTAATTTGTGGGTAACGTCCCAATAGAACTTTTCTTGTTTGGAGGCAAACCATTCAGAGACCCAATTTTCCACTTCTTTGTATGTTTTGAAGTGCTGCTCAGAAAGTGCGTGTGCCATTAATTGGAATAAGTAGTAATCTAAAGGAGCAAGGTCTGGTGAATACGGCGGGTGGGTTAATACTTCCCAGGCAAGATCTTTGAACGTGTCTTTATTTTTATTTTATTTTTTAATCATTTTTTTCTTTATTGATTAAGGTATTACATATGTGTCCTTATCCTCCCATTACCCCCCCCCCCCCGTGTCTGTGTCCCTTGGTTAGGCTTATATGCATGCATACAAGTCCCTTGGTTGATCTCTCCCCCTTACCCCCACCCTCCCCTACCTTCCCTCGAGGTTTTTTTTTGTTGTTGTTGTTTTTTAATATATATTTCTTTATTGGTTTCAGAGAGGAAGGGAGAAGGAGAGAGAGATACAAACATCAATGATGAGAGAGAATCATTGATCGGCTGCCTCCTACACACCCCCCACTGGGGATTGAGTCCGCAACCCAGGCATGTGCCCTTGGCCGGAATTGAACCTGGGACCCTTCAGTCCCCAGGCTGACGCTCTATCCACTGAGCCAAGCCGGCTAGGGCTTCCCTTGAGGTTTGAGGGTCTGATCGATGCTTCTGGTTTTGAAGTGTGTGGTGGTGCGTTATCATGAAGCAAAATTACTTTGCCATGTCTTCTGGCCCATTCTGGTTGTTTTACGATCAAAGCGTGGTTCAAATTGATTATTTGTTGTAGGTAGCGATCAGTATTAACTGATTTCAGCAGTCGCCTGCTTGCCTGATTGCCCCTCTGCCTGCCTGCCTGCCTGATTGCCCCTAACCCCTCTGCCTGCCTGCCTGATTGTCCCTAACCACTCACCTGCCTGCCTGATCACCCCTAACCGCCTCTGCCTTGATCCAACGTCCAGAATGATATCCACAAGGTCGTTCGGCTGTCCAGTCTAATTACCATATTACGCTTTTATTATTATAGATTATTAAAAGAAATTGAATCCAGGCCAGTGTTGCTCAGTGGTTGAACATCAACTCATGCATGAACAAGAAGATCACGGTTCAATTCCCGGTCAGGGCACATGCCCGGGTTGCATGTTCAACCCCCCGTAGGGGGCGTGCAGGAAACAGCCAATTGATGATTCTAATCATTGATGTTTCTTTTTTAAGATATTTTTATTGGCCGAAACCGGTTTGGCTCAGTGGATAGAGCGTCGGCCTGCGGACTGAGAGGTCCCAGGTTCGATTCCGGTCAAGGGCATGTACCTTGGTTGCGGGCATATCCCCAGTAGGGGATGTGCAGGAGGCAGCTGATCGATGTTTCTCTCTCATCGATGTTTCTAACTCTCTATCTCTCTCCCTTCCTCTCTGTAAAAAGTCAATAAAATATATTTTTTAAAAAAAGATATTTTTATTGATTTCAGAGAGAGAGGGAGAGAGATATAGAAACATCAAAGATGAGAATCACTGATAGGCTGCCTCCTGCATGCCCCCTACTGGGGATTGAGCCTGAAACCCAGGCATGTGCCCTTGGCCGCAATCGAACCCGGGACCCTTCACTCCACAGGCCAATGCTCTATCCACTATCCTAGCCACTAGGGCATCATTGGTGTTTCTATCTCTCTCTCCCTCTCTTCCTCTCTAAAATCAATAATATTAATAATATTTTTTAAAGTAGAAATAAGAGATGATACACTGTGCCTACCCTCAAAAAAAAAAAAAAAAAAAAAGCTGTAACTTCAGCTCTTGAGTTTCTCTGACCTTGCTGAAGAATCAAATCTACAACTGGCACCCCTGAGATTACAGGAAATAATCCTATTCACCCTGGCTCTGCATCCAGTGACCTGGTTCCTCAGGGAGGGAATAACTAACCTGCCTTGCTCTAGCCTGTCCTACTCATGAAACAATTTCTGAGCCTTTGGGAACTAGTCCCCTTGTTTGCAACGCTCCTGCTTCAGAATCTAGGATTAAAGTGTATTACCTCTTACATATAATAACCACCATTTCCTTTTTTCTTTAAAAGTTAACATTTTAAATGATGGGAATCATATATAATCCCACTGCCCTGATTTTAATCTAGCATAGTATATGTTTTTAAATATATATTTGTAATTATTAATTTGTCAAATATTTCAACATAAAGATGCACTAACTGTGACATCTGTTAGCTAAATGATCACAGGAGTTGACTCAGCTGTTCTGACTGGCTAGCAAGATGCCCTTATTCCTTCCCGCTCCACTATGAGTAACTATAAAAGTTAAACACTCAATTTAAGAAGAAAATAGACCATGAAAAATCATTTTCCTCTCAAAGTAACAGCAAATATTTTCCAATGTTTATTCATTCTTTATAACTATCATTTTAATAATCATCAATGATGATGGTTATTAATATTGTTATCAAAATGGCAAAAAGGTAGATCATTTTTAATGATTCCCTAAAATCTCATCATGTTTTAAGTGTTATATAAATCATTCTCCCTTATATCACACATTTAGGCTTTAACATTTTTTTTACACATATGTTTTAGCTCTTCATTTTTATGAGGGAAAATGAAATCTGGTTCTTAAGAAAAAGATGACTTACCTTTTTTAAAAACAAAGGAGGCCCTAGCTGGTTTGGCTCAGTGGATCGAGCTTCAGCTCACGGACTGAAGGGGGGTCCCGGATCTGATTCTGGTCAAGGGCAGGCCTGATCCCCAGCCCTGGTTGGGACCTCTGCAGGAGGCAACCAATCAATGTATCTCTCTCTCTCTCTCTCTCTCTCTCTCTCTCTCTCTCATTCTCTCCCTTCCTCTCTCTAGACCTAAAATCAATAAAAGCGTACCCTCAGGAGAGGATTAATTTTTACAAAAAGAAAACAAACACAGAGATGATCATAATGTGAGGACAGAGTTAATAAATATAAAACACTTAGAACAGATTCTGGCACATAATAGGCAGTTAATAAATGTTAGCTATTATGATGATGATTATTAATAGTTACTAAAATGGCAAAAAGGTAGATTATGCAAAAAAAATACATGAATATTGACTCCTGTCCATAATAGGATATTCCCAATACACTTCATTTCCACATGTTCAAAGTATTCCTCATTCTTCAACACCAACCACGAATATTATCTCTCCTACTCAACTTTCCCTGATCTTTTTCCAAACAAATGCCGTCAAAAATACTGTCTCCCTGCTCACAATTCCCAAGGCAGTTTATATGCACCTCGTGCTCTTCTTGCTTTCTATCTCTCCATAGCAGTTATTCCTATCAAAATCTTAACTCCCATAATGATCAAAATCTCTTTAAGGACAGAATTCATTGTTTTATTCATCAGGTTAATTCTTCAAAATTCCTTGAATATAATCTTGGTAAGCGGCCCCTGAGACAATTCCTTTCTTGGAACCTATTAACAAAGCCTCAAACAAATATCACAAATAAGTCTTTGCAACAAAACTTTGGTAACCAGACTAACATAATTAGAAATCTATAGGCCTTATCTATATATAATTGGTTGATATAATCTAATTAAAATAAAGCAGTTTTGAGTTTAGATGCCAATGCTCTATCTAAAATAGAAACATGTGATTGGCTTTTTACTTTTATGTTTTTCAAGGATCAATGGATTATTTGTTCCCAATCCCAGCATGCCTGGACATATTAAATAGTCAGGACAACATCTAGTTAGCCACATAAAGCAAAAGAACCAATGGCCATTTTTCTAGGACAGCTTGAGATAATGGAACTGGTGGTTGAAGAACTCAGGTTCTTTGAGGACTCAAAGGCTATTAGAAGAATTCTATCCATCCTTCTATGATGTCATATAACAAAAAATATATAACCTTCAATTTTCATATTTAACAAAGGAATCATCCCTTTCTTCCTTTATTCAATCTTAAGCAGCAGCATTAAAGCTTGTTTATGTTTTATCCAGGCTTTATAAATCTACTAGAGGCCCAATGCACAAAATTCGTGCAAGGGGCTCGGCCCCCTCCGCCGTGGTGGCCGCTTCTGCCTCGGCCTCTGCATGCGGCGGCAGCTGCCTCTGCCTCAGCCCTCGCAGCCCCATCTTCATCTGGAAGGACACCTAGAAAGATGTCTGGCCTAATTAGCATATTATGCTTTTATTATATAGGATGTTCTCTGTACAAAGGCCCATTAATTCAGAGAAACTCAAACATTAGTCTTTATTCAGATTAATCCAGTTCTCTTTCTTTTTTTTTTATAATACTTATGACAAATTTATATTTACATATTTATTTTTGGTCAAC